AGAGAAGGGGAAGGGAAGGACATGGGAGAACAGAGAAGGCAGAGCCAGGCACTTCTCAAAGATGTGGTGAAAGGACAGGAGCCAATGGACACACATTGGAAATTCCTGTAAGCCAGAAGGGGGAAAGAATGTCAGCACAAGGGTGGTGGTGTGGTGACAGGTGCTGGTGCAGAGACACAGGTGCACCTGAAATATGTGTATAGTGCATTTTAACTGTTCATTATCAATTTGCTTTCAGAGTTATGTGTGTATTTACTCCTGCTTGTTATTTTTATATAACATGCTGATAGAAAATATGGGGACAAAATGTGAATGCAGTTCCATTTGGCTTAGGTTTATAGAAGGGAAAGCCAAGACCAGCTGTGTTAGGTCAATAACATTAACATAATGATGACTAACTAATCAATTTAATGACTGTGGTACCATTGGATGCTACCTCACTTGAAGCTTTAGGGTCTTATAACAGGAACTGGAAAAACGGAATAATTTCAGAATAAAATTGAATATCATCAAATCTCATCAGTAATGACAATTACTTGGAACAAAGTTGGAGTGTGGAAAATACTTCTTTGAAATGACCTATCATTCTGCTATTTCTTTGGAGAAAAAAAAAAAAAAAAAATCATTAGCTGGACAAAATAGGAATGCTGCAGTCTCTAGTGCTTTGTGACTTGGGCTTGTTGCTCTTGTGGCGCTGCTCCCGGCTTTCTTCACATACTCGCTACCTTAAGGAGAGCCGTGAAAGAGCAGGAGCTCCAGGTGCGGCGCTGCTGTCAATTTTTCCATATTTACTGCTCACTACCCTGCTGCAATCTCTGGCTACAAGGGAGCACTGAATTGTAATTCCACGCACAGGTGGGTTTTAACTGTCTTGGCTGTAGCTATCTTCTGCTCATCTCTGACCCAAGAACAGACCTGCTCAACCCTTGGTCCTCTTGATCTCAGGAGTAATGTCCTGAGCTGCCTCAGGGCAATTTTGATGTTTTTGATAAGTCACCAGCATTGCAAAGGTAGCTCTTAACACGCTTTCCTAAGGAATTAAGTTTATGAAGTGGCCTTCTGCCTGACTTTAAGTAATTTTTGTATCAGATGGCCTGTTTTAAGTGATTTTGACAAAGTGGGAAAGGCCTAAAAACTTAATGGTCCCCTAGCAATTTTTGTTTGCAAGCAGTTACTCTGCAGAGTGAGAGTGATCGATGCCTGGAGCGTGTTGTGGGTCACAGAGGTGACGAGTGAAGAGCAATGTGCTGCCGAAGGCATCAGGAAGGGCTGCTGTTAAAATAGCCAGTGCACTCGTGTCAGCCTTCAAGGCTCATTTTTCTTGTCTCTTGCTAAAGACGAAACGAGCTTGGGGGTGGTGAGTTTGTGATGTAAAATTTTGAGACACTTCTATATAGTCAACCTGGAGGAAAAAAAAAAAAAAAACTAAATTCCAAAGAGATTTTTGCCAGTCATATTAAGCATGGAAATCTATGAATGATTTATGTCCAACTTCCTAGCATGTTCCCAAATGGCCGGTAATACTTCCCTCTTTTTCTGTCCCTGATCATCTGGAATTGAACTCGTCGTGTCTCCGGAGCCTGTAGGTGCTTTGCCTTACGCAGCCTCATGACGCTGCTACGAATCTTAGTGCTGTTGGGGAAATTGAAAACAACAGATTTACTTCATGTTCTCATTGCTCCACTCTCTAGTAGGCTGTTCAGTTTCTTGGAGATTTTTCATGTCCACACTTGACCTGATTTTTGTTTAGTTTTTCACTGCTGTTCTCACTTGTACGTGAGCTAAGAGGTTATCAGCCAGCCTGATTTACAAGGGGAGATGTTGAGAATAAGGATAACTTTCCTAGTAAAAGTAAAGTAAAGAGAACTTAGAGCAGAAGGATGGGGGCAGTAGTCCTTGTATATGCTGGAATTTTTGGGAAGAGGAGTGAAATTATTTCATTTTTGTGTCCATTATAGATGGTACAGGAAACTCTGGACATAAATTGCACTGTGAAACCCTGATATTAGACACCAAAATAAGCTCTCTACCAGACTAGGAACAGATTGAGTGAGGAGGCTACGGGCAGGTTTGATGAGAGGTGTTTCACGCAATCTTTCATGTGATTTTGTGAAATACAGAAATGTTAAAATGTTAAAAGCTCAGCCAGATACTGTCACACTGCAGAATCGGTGACATTCGCTTATTAAATGCAATTGGCTGCAATCTTTTTCCTCAAAAGGACTGTATGGATAAGCTGAGCTAATGAGATAGATGTTAGAAATGATATTCTATGTCCAGAAGAAACCCATTTTTTGATAATTTGCATAACACTTGCATATTTTCATAGGTGCACAAAATAGTACTTTTAGTATCAGCAACATTTCTTGTTATTTCTCCATTTCTAAATAAATAACATATGCAGTATGCCTGTTGTCTTTCTTTAAAAAAAAAAAAAAAAAAATTATGTATAAAACCCCAAATGCTGGTTACATGCTCTATTGGGGAGCTGGAGTGGTTGGGAAAGGGCAGGCAGGACATAATGGCTCCTAATTCCTCAAATGAAGAGGAAAATTAAAACACACACTAAAAGCCAATTTCCAGCAGCTGAGAGCAAGACGAGGGAGTTTTTGACCTACTGTCTTGCCTACCTTTCTGGTTTTTACTTCCTGCAAGTTGCAGGAGAGATGGGAAACATTTGGGCTCCCCACTGCCACTCACTGCGTGGCCCTGCAGAGGTGCCAGGCCTTTTCAACACAGCCTGACTTGATTCCTGAATCCTGGCAGTCTCTCTCTCTCTCTCTCTCTCTCTCTCTCTCTCTCTCTCTCTCTCTCTCTCTCTCTCTCTCTCTCTCTCTCTCTCTCTCTCTCTCNCTCTCTCTCTCTCTCTCTCTCTCTCTCTCTCTCTCTCTCTCTCTCTCTCTCTCTCTCTCTCTCTCTCTCTCTCTCTCTCTCTCTCTCTCTCTCCTTTGTGCAATTTGCAGCCAGGCTTCATGATGTGGGGAAAGCAGCAGGAACAATGCAATCCAAGGTTTCATGCAGAAAGATGGGTCTACAAAATGAGTTATAAGACCATATATCCTTTTAAAAATTCTGTTTACTTATTTATAGAAAAATTGTTTTGCTTCCTCTCAGACTGCAATTAGTATATATTCACGTGTGTGTGTATATATATTTAAGAAATTTAGGTGATTGAAAGTAAGATAGTGGAATAGGGTTGTACACATATGAGTGTGCATGCATTTTGTTGTGGTACTTTAGAGAGATAGCAACATGTAATTTTTTTCTGCTACCTATGTTTAGTTATATATTACATTGTAGAATATTGGTTACTTGCTATGACAGGAGCCACTGTTTGTGGCACTGAATAAGAAAATATAATTCAAAGGTCATTTTGAATTGTTGCACTGGAATCATATGGAAGGTTTATATGCTGTGCTTGCGGTAGGAGGAGACAGGTATATTATCTGGATTTTAGAGTATTAACTTCAGGCTGTGTACGCATCTCGAGCAAGGACCAGAGCTAAGGATTCGATATTGGCCACATTTAGCGACTTGCATACTAAAAGGCAGTCATGAAAATATGCAGCTGTTTTAATTAGAAATAATGTATTATGCTATACAATATAATCCTTCAATTTATAAACTAATCCAGAGCAAGATTTAGAGAGATTTCTCTCAAGTCAAATGACTGAAAATATTTTATGAATAATTCATATTTTTGATGTGTTTACCATTGTAGACATGCCAGTGCTCTGAGCTTCAGGAAGCTTTTGGAAAAGACATCCTGGCTGGGCTGAATGAGCCATCACAGGCAGCACTGAGGCTACAAAGCCAAACCTGTATAGTTTGCCATCTTCCCTTCCTTTAAGAGCCCTAATTTCCTTGGAAAACTTGTGCACGGGTGCTTATGCTGGGCTCTGCGTCACAGAATGGTTGAGGTTGGAAGGGATCTCTAGAGATCATTTAGTCCAACCCCCTGCTCAAGCGAAATTTTTTTTAGGTCATTTTTACCCAGCTTCGCTCTGCAGACTTCCAGAAGAAGTTCTATTTTATGAAGACGTGGGGTTTGGAAAGGAGAACGGAGCCAAGGCAGGACATGTGCCAGTGAGGCAAATGGCACGTGCTGTGCGCCCTGCCACCCCTCCTATGGCACCGCGCTGGGTGCCCTATAGGAAAGGGGGTCCTCTCCTTGAACCTTGCAAGCCAGATTCAATACCAGAAGTAAACACATTTGTCCAGCTCCCCTGTGAAGGGGATCTTACCCTAACTCGCCTGCACGTAACCATGCGAGCTGCCTCTGGGCTCATTCAGCCCTGGGAAGTAGCTTGATTTGCCTGTGGAAATATGTCTGTAACAGCATTTATCCAGAGATACAAGATGCTATGCTATAGCTTAGTCTTCAGAAAGATATATCTTTCTATAATAATCCTCAAATATTAGAAGTACTAGTAAGCTCTAAGAATTTTCTTTTTCTTTCCTCTCTCCAAAACTCTATAATAAAATGCTATCTAAATCATCTAGACATCTAGACTAGGAAAAAGTTACGGGGAGTAAGTTAGCTAGCTTAAAATGAATTATATATTAAATAGCCATTCAAGTTAGAAAATCAATACTTGAAGGTTTATATTTCTCTCATGTATCTTTTATCGGCTCTGTGTTTGCAAAGCATTTCATGATTAATTTCTTTCATGATATTGTAATTTCATGCTGGATACTGCCACTGGAATAGTATTAGAAAAAAAAAAAAAGGCTATAAGTGGTTTGAATCCTCTCCAACTGTGCTGTGGTGAATATTTTGTAGTAAAATTGGGAGATCATTTAATATTTTGTCTTAGAAATTAATTTTTAATTTAGTAGTTTAAAAGGGATGGTGAATTAATTACTTCTATATTACCCACCTGAAACATTCAATTTTTACAGCTCCTTTAAAATAACGTTATTCTTACACGTGCGTGATTTCTGATAGCTGTCAGAGCTGTAATAACAAAGCCATTGTTTTGTTTTCCCCTAATCCACAGAAGCTATGCCTGTTCCAGACCAGCCCTCGTCTTCTGACAAGACGAGTTCCCTTAGCCCGGTGTTGAACACATCCAATGGCGATGGCTCCGAAACGGAGACGACCTCCGCAATTCTCGCGTCCGTTAAAGAACAGGTATGTGACTGCCACATCTGCATGCTAGAAGACAACATGGTTTTGAGATTTTCAGTAAGAGTTTATAGATGGTATCTGAATAATTGTATCTTCAAAATGAATTTTAAAGTGGTCACCATTCTACCACAGATTGAATATAATTATTGAACTGTTCATTATGTTCTTTACCTGGTACTGTGGGCAGGGTTTTGGAAGGTATCTCATTTTTTATTGGTAGTCTTCATGTGGATTTGCAATGTAAAAGCATGACATATAAACACTGCAGACAAATAATCAAAGAGATGTGCTATTCCCTTTGACTTAAAAGAAATTAGAAAAATAATTTAACATGTTAAAATTCAATGCGCATTTATTTTTGTTTTAATTTGCATACAGTTGACATTAATTTAGGCCAAAAATGTGTATAACAGAAGTTTTAGGGGTTTTGAAAAGATAATACCAGAAGTACCAAAAATTTCTGAAGCAGAAGTGGCTATTTGTGTGACTGCTTGATTCTAATAAGAGAGGTTTACATTTTATGTGAATTTTGGTGGGACAAGTGTTGGAGACTTTGCTTAGTACTTCATTGTACATCAAGTGATTGTTGTATTCAAGTTTATGAAAATACCTGATCTCAATTGTGACCTCGTTTGGCCCAGCAGTATCAACAAGGATCTGAGTGATGTTAAAGGTGTGCATGATTAATCAGCTTTTGCCTTGCTTATAGGTATCCAGGTTAGTCTCCATTACAGAATATTCAGGTTTCTCTTCCTAAGCTATTCACTGTTTCTTTGGCAAGTTTTAGTGCATGAACTCAGCTTATGATTTCCAGCACTGTTGGATTATTAGTTGTTGAGTCATTGTGCTTTAATAAAAAGATATGCCCTTGCCCTTCTTTTTTTGATATATAGTAGTTCCTACTTTTAGGTGTTAAAGGTTAATCATATTTTCTGCTTTTGTAAAGACAAATGCAAGGAAGACAGGCAGTAATGTGGAGCTTTGTGTTAAGATCTGTATTAGATCATTATATTAGAATTATTTTTAGTTTAGATATTTGTATAAATATTTTCTTTTAGCATAATAGCATTACTTGGGCATGTACCATTATCTGGACTTAAAACCAGAGTTTCAACCTATGATTCAACAATGTTGTAAACAAAAATGCCCGTCTTAGCTGTTGTCTTTCTGATGATGGAAAAGTTTTCAGTAAAATGATGTAGATAGAAGATATGTTGTGTCTTTCTAGTAGAATGTGAAATGGTATTGAAGTGTGAGAAGCTGTTTTCTCTTGTTGAATTTTGGGATTATATTGCTAGTTTGTGCCTAATTTTATATACTGTTAAATGGAAAAAAAAATCAATAAATCAGTGAATTGATATTTAAGGATTCCGTGCTGAAGATACTAGCTAAAAGAATTTTAAATGGAAAAAATATTAATATTTTATTTCCATGATTCCATGATTACAGCAAATCAGAGCCCGCAAGAAAGAAGCTCTGCAATCTCTTATCACATGGAGTAGCCTAGTCAGTGTTGGTAGCTAACAAGCCAATTTGTTGGATCACAGATGTTCTGTTAAGCTCTGTTTTGACAGATGAGCTGTTGTCAGATCTCTTGTGAAGCGGGAACACCATGCTAAACTGGTAATTGAGAATAAATTTTGGATCCCTGTGAATTCCTGAAAATATATGATGACTTCAATAAATAGGACTTAATAACAAACACTTCTGTTCTGCCACACTCAATACTGCAAAAGCTATGTGTGACTCCAAGCTTTTTTTGTGAGTATTATTTTATAGTTATGACTTGAAAGCAAAAACTGCTTTGAGGCTTTTCCTCTTCCCCAATATTTTGTGTTTTGCAAGATTTGAACTGTTCAGCTTGTTGCTGGAGGAAGTTTAAGAAAACCCATCACTTCCATTCTCCAGCAGCTGGAGAATTACCCTAATTCTGTATTAGGGGAATAGATGAAGGAGGTTGCTAACTATTTGAATATTTAGATGGGTAGTGTCTGCATCTTAGAAAGAAAAAGGAATGATTTTACTGCTTGGTAATTGCTTTTGCTTAATGTCACTCTTGTCTTTAGCCAAAAATATGCCTGGAATTCTAGAAATACGAACACAATTATGTAAAAGTACTGATAACAAAGGAAAATAATTCAGGTATATTTGGATGAATCAAATGTGTTGCATACTTGTGCTAACTCTTTAAAAACGTTGTGATGCTACTTTTAATTCTCTTAGCACACTTGTTGCCAGTTTATATGGTGTTTTCTCATGAAAAATCTAGAACAGTATCTTTGGATGACTGCAGCAAAGTAAATTGCAGATTTATAGCACTGAGGAGTGAAAAAGGTTTTTGAAATCTTTGAAGAGGGCAGGTTATGTGAAAGACGTTCACAGAAGACTTTAAAGATATTCTATCTATTTTAGTTAAACTTCCTACATAAAACATAAATGATATAGTCAAAATCTTAAACTTTGCTGTGCTTAGTTTGAAGACTGCTTATGTGTGTGCTGTTCATTTTGATGAAAAGAGGTGTTGGGTCTGAAAAAAAAGTGTATGTCAGAGATCTTGCTTGCTATGCCAAATGGAATCGAGCAGTTGGTCATAACTGGATCAGAATATTTAACCATGTACTTTTAAAGATTGTGATTTCTGACAAAAATAGAAATTGAGTATTTTGTTGTAGAGTGGTTAGAGATATCTACGAAATTCAAATCCCAAACTGCCTTCTTTAATGGGTCAGCCATTTCATTTGTGTTTTTCCCCTGGACATTCATACAGGATGGCAGTCAAGTTTCAGACTCTTGGGGATTTACTGGAAAGAAATTATGAATTTGGGAATATGAATGCAGATTTGGTCCCTTCTAACTTCCTCAAGGTCAGCAAGCACTGCTGGAGGTGGCACATGGGTCTCATTTTGTCTATCTACGAAGTCATGAGATGCTAGGGAGTGAGCTTTGCCTTAGGTGCTCCCAAGCTACTCTCATCAAGAAGGTTTGTAACTTGAGCAAAAATAAAAGCTGAGGATTTTATCATGCAGTCAGAATTAAGAGCATCAGAATCGAGGATTTGCAGCCTGAAGAGGCAGTGAAATGCTATAGTGTGACCAGTGAGCACAGCTCAGAGCACATTATCCAATTAGTGAGCCTAAAATCTGATCACAGATTGACTTTCACAACCATTTCTCCTCTTAAATTGAATGCTCTGTTGTTACATATGATATTCACCAGTATAAAATCTCATTGTTCCCTTATAGGAAACATAATTTAAAGTAATCTTAACTATTCTGTGGCTTTCCTATATAGAATCAGTCATAATAAATCTTTATCTTGCTATCCTTTAACCATCAGAGCCAGCATCTCTGCCTCTAAAAGTTCTAGCAGCTCGCTTTTAGACTCGAGCTCATTATATTTCAATATTTAAATTCTTTCATTATCTTTCACAATAGCTTGTATGGAAGTGAATATATTCACACACACAATTATAGAATTTTCATGTTTCCGATGAGATTTTGAGATATTCCAGATAGAGATTTCCTCCTTTTTTTTTGCCATTTTTTTCATTAATATATGGATTTTCAGATATTAGTAGAGTATGATAGGAATTAGACTAGGCTGCGTTACGCATTTTTAGTGCCAGAAGTATAAATGCAATGGATACTGTACTTTTAAGTTGATGGGTGCACCAACGCATTGTTATTCAGGTATGAAGCTTGATTAATACAGTTAGTGCTTCCCAAATATATCCTCAGGTTGATGGGATAGCTTTTGAGATGTTTGATTCCCAACGATAGAATCTGGAAGTTGAGTAGAGAAATTTTGACAGAGTCATCACAGGGCTGGTGAAGAAAGAGGAAATTCACTTAATATCCTTGTTCTGTGCCCTGCTCTACTGGTTTCTGGAGTTTTCAGTTTAATCTGGTCTCTTGTAGCTTTTTTGGAGCAACTGCAACAGTATTCAGTCTATTACTTCTTGGCAAATGGAAGATTATGGGAGTGGGGGACTAGAGGTGCAATTTGCCTTCCAAACCTGATGTACACTATGTAGTGCCAAAGATGCAATAGCCATAA